TTAAAATTTTTAGTTTAATTCTCTTTTAATAAAAGATTTGTCCCTTTTAAAATATAATTTTTTATTTAGTTTTTCTTAGATTTTAGTTTTTTTTTTAATTTTCAAGCATTTATGTATATAAAAATATGCAATATTTGTAAATTTTGTTTAAAAAGTATGTATGTGTGTACCAGACTTCTACTACGTAAGGGCACATCTCTCACCTTTAAATGTATGCATGTATGTACATATGTACCATATGTACATATGTATGTATTCTAAGATTTATTTGCTTGATTGCTTTTGTTTAATTAACGTTTCTTTTAACTTTTCGGTGTATAATTTGAACTTTTTGAAATATCTTTCTTCTATACCATTTTTTCACTATTTTGTTTTTATTTCCTTTCATTTGCTTACATCGCACACTGGCTCTCAGCTACTAGGTATTATGCGATAATTTTTCGTCTAAATATTTAGCTAAACACTCTTGCGTATATTTTCCGAAGGCGCGTGCTAAAGTTTGCATATTAAGTCTGGCTTTCGATAATTTAAGGTGTTATATCCACTTTCAAGCCAGAGGAAAGGCTTTCCAAATTTTGAAGTGACATTATATTTAATAAATACATATGTATATACAAATAATGTACATTTATATTTTAGAAAGTGGCAGCTTCACAAAAAAATAGTATTTGTGAAAAAATTTACATTTCATGAGGGTTAAAAATCGAATTTATTATAAAATATTTATTCTTTCGATCATTACCTGATAAATATATCTTAAAAAATCGTATGAAAATTTCAAGATCGGTCCAGCCGTTTTCTCAGCGACATTGGAAAATAGTAGTTTTTGACTTTTACCTAGTTTTTGTTTAACCAAGCTGCTAAAAAGCACACCTTCGTAAGTTTGTAACACAAAGTACACACACATTAAGTTTTCATGCTTGCTTGTTGTGCGCTCTTTGTGCTGCGCCAACGTGGAGCGCTTTACGCTCAGCCAGCTACCTTTCGGTTGGCTCCCCAGCCAACAGTTGGGGTCTAACTAGCTGAATCGCAGTAAATTAGACAGTCTTCAAATCGCGTTCTTCGCTTATAGACGGTTTAGTCTTTCACTAATTTAGCCTAATCCTTATTTGCTGTGCGCGCGCTGTCTTCAACGTCTAAATAACAACAACAATCAACTTAGTAAACACTTGAGTGTGTGCGTGTGTGTAACGGTTAAGCTGTTGCCCAAAGAAAGATCAAAAAAGTGCCATAAGTTGAATCACTTGGAAGTAGTAGTGCCTCTGATTTCATTACATTTCATATTCATTATTCATTGGTCTTCACCGCCACTTCGTCGCGCTTGTGCTAAGCTATTCCGTTGTGGAGCAACAAATAAACAAACGAACGATTGTTGTATAAGTTTTTTTTGCACATAAAACGTGTTTTAGTTGCAATTAACGTTCGAAGCCGCAGTGATCGTCGTTGTGTGTAGCAGCCGGTAGAGACTTTGTCAGCGAGTCATACGTTTACGAGCAGATAATTTTACGTGGTGGAGTGATTGAGAATCGCCGCAAAGCGTTTGTTCATAATTTAATTGTAAACTAAAACGCTTTTGAGTACAGCAGATATTAGTTATTGTGACAGTCATGGCCTCTAAGCAGATTAGCAATGGCAACGGTAAAACGGTTGAGGGTAAGTAATGGAAGTGTTAACAAAAGAATATGAAGATTTGCGCCCAGAAAAGTGGAAGTAAAAAAAATTTAAACGATAACATTTGGTAATGGATTTTTGGGATTAAATGCTTTGAAACGGTTTAAGGGCCGTTTCCCTCAATGTGTGGTTAGCATCCATCTGTCAGTTCTGGTTAACTGAACCAAGACTATTGTTTGCGGCAAAGATCCTTACTTTAACCAGAACTTATTTGATAGGTGGCTGCTAACCAGACATTGAGAAAACGACCCCAAATGAGCTTTCACAGCAATCGATAAAGAAAAGAACAAGAAAAAACGTTAATGGCTGTATACTACCTTTAACCGGTGTATTACTAAGTTTCTTTTTTCTAACCGCGTTGTTTGCTCTAAACAACCTTCAAATCGAATTAAGGTTAGCTGGAAAGATAGACAGACGATCATAGCTAAATCGACTCAGCTTGTCACGTTGATCTTTAAATATGTATAGATTCTATAACTATGTATATTCGTGCGATTTTTTTTCACACTTGAACTTTTGCTTATGTAAGAAAAATATATACTTTATTTTTATTATAATGTAATTTTTTTCAATATTTCTGGCAATTTGTACATTCGATCCCAATAAAGCTGCGCCAGTTTGGCAGCAGCTGACGTGATCCGTAAATGGTAGTTAGAAGGAGCAAGGTCTGGGCTATAGGGCGGGTGAGGTAAAATTTCATAGCTGTTGATTTCCAAACAGTTTTTTTGTCAGTCTTGCAATTTAACCGAGCATTGTCGTATTGGAAAATCATTACCCCGTTTGTCAATTTGACGAGTCGGGTTTGGTAGCATTTCCCATTACCGTGGAGTCATAGATTTGGCTGGTTTACCAGGTTCCAAACATATATTTTTTGCGTTCAAGGATGTCATAATGGATTCATTTTGTCACCAGTCAAAATGTCTGCGTTTTACAGCGTTCAAGAAGCATGTCTGGTTTGGCTTCTGGGTTTTAATTTAAAGGCGTCTGATTTTTTAGCTTTTTGAATGTTTTGAAACGGCCGCTTAATTATTATTCAGTATAATCTCCATGAACATTAATACACTTGTTCCAACGATCCTCCAACCTGTGGATCCCATCCCTGAAGTGAGAATCCGGAAGGTCTGCAAAATACACTTCAACAGCCGTTATGAGCTCTTCATTTGATGGAAAACGCTTGTCACGCATAAATTTTTTGAGTTCTGGAAACAAATGGAAGTCGCAGGAGGCCAAATCTGGTGAATGCGGTGGATGCCCCAACAATTCGAACTTTAATTCATGGATTCTAGATAAATAGATTGTCAAAATGCTCTTGTGACACGGTACATTGTCCTGATGAAAAAGGATTTTTTCTTCTGCAAATCGGGTCTTTTTTCACGAATTTTTTCCTTTAACTGGTCCAAAAGGTTGCAATAATATTCAGAAATAATTCTTTTACCAGTTTGCAAGTAATCCACAAAAAAAAAAATAACAATTCCTCTCGCATCCCAAAAAAACGAACTCGTTTCTAAGCCGAGTACACACCTTTTCCTTCTTTAGCCTTTTGGTTTGATTCAGGATCATGGTGATAGAGCCTTTACTACATCTCTCTGAGCATTCAACGATCTTCCAAAACCATATTCCGTATTTTGACTATGATTTCTGGTGTTGATGCGCATTTTTTACGTCCTTCACGTGGACCGTTTTCAAGGCTTGTGTGTATATATATCATGTATTTATACTTATAATATTAATATAACATTTGTAGGGGTGTTCTGCAGCAAATATAGTATGTGATAACCTTTATTGTTCACAACAGATGAGTATATTTGCCATTAAAATATTGTCGAGTTTTGTTATAAAAATACTGTATATTTATAATGTACCATGTGTATATGTATGTATAGTATCAACTTTTGTACAATCAAATCATTTTAGAGTGGTTCGACCTCTACGAAAAATTCTCACGTTTTTCTAATCAATACATTTAAAAGCTATTTGTGTATAATGCAATATGGCGTGGCATTGGAAAGGAGATAAGGTCGCGGTAAACGTAATTGATAATATACCTTTTAAATTGTATTATGTATTTATGGCTTTCAAATCAGCAGAAAGTTATCTCTAAGCTCTTTTTAGACTTGAAGTAGCAAGTAGATAAGAAAAAAAATTTTGATAAAAAAATAATATTGGTTTACAAATTATAGTAATAATAAAATGACTTGCTAATTATCCAAGTACTTTATGTTTGAGTCCCCTTCGATGGCTGAATTTCACAACTTTAGGGATAGCATTTTTCAGAGTCATGCAGATCCTAAATCAAAAGGGTCACCGCTGCTAAATAATTATTATTGATACTGCCAGCTTTAAATAAAAATTGATTTAAATTTATAGCCTCATTCAAATTTATAAAATTACGACACTCCAAATTATGGACGAAGACGCAAAATTAAGAAAGTTACTGTTATTTTAGTTAAAATATTTTTGACATTGACACATGATGATGATGTTAAGCAATTACGCTTTCAGCACCATTTTCATTAAATCAGCGACATTGAGAGTGAAGTTGTGTGCGGTAAGTGTTGTATAGCGCCTACATGTATGCTTTATTTGCAAGTTGACATAAAAAATAATGTTATTCGAGTATTAGGTGCTTAATTGTTTTGCTGTTTATACACTAAGGAAGGAATCGTCAGATACTCTCTAAATTGTATATTTATATATAAATGATCAGAGTGACGAGCTGAGTCGGTTTCGACGTGTCTATCAATATAATATACTCTACCAAGTCCCTCACTATTGACCTTTCTCCCAAGAAAATGCTCACTTGTCGGAACCGCCGATATTGGACCACTCTAAGTTGTAGGTGGCATGCAAAAATATATCAAAATTAAGTTTCTGTATGGAAAACTTTTTTATTTCACAGAATATCTTCGTGAAATGCGGCATCGCTTATTGTGCAAGTCAACTCTACAATCTTCGAATATATGTATTTTTGAAATTGGTTTACTAAGCACACAGCTGCCATATAAGCTGATCGATCAAAATTAAGATAAAGATCTTTTTATATTCTTTTATGCTATAACAAATGCACCTGTGAATGGTATTATAGCTTCGGTGCAGTCGAAGAAAACGTTTTTTCTTGTTTTTAGTGCAGTTTTCGACTATATCGAATTTTTTTTCGCTTTGAAGAGATTGTTTTGAACTTAAATTTCTACTAAATAGTAACATACACAATAAGCAGGCATAATCTGATTTCATTACTCAGTAATGAAATTAATGGCCATCATGAGGTCATACAAAAAACTAAAAAAGTACAGCTTAGACTTCAACCTTCTGTATGCATATGTCTGACGTTAACCTCAATCTTTTTTCCATTACTAAATCTGTGCGTAATTGCAACGCACTAAGCGCTTGATTTTTGATTGTCATTTTCACGCATTTATTTACATAAGTATGTGTACACGCCATCTGTTTTAAGCAAGGGCGCAACACCGGAATCACTTTCCAATTCAAAATCTAACACACTAGTACGTATGTATGCGCATTAATTAACTAGGCATTGTACTCTTAAAAACCGTGTATGTACTTATATTTCACGATCGCGCGATCACTTTGCATGACAGTGACAATGTCATTGCCAAGTGAGTGGAAACCTTTCACGAAAGCTTTTGTGAGCAACTTTTATGTTTAGCTGGTCATTTGTTCAAAGAATGCTAAAGCTTTACGTGAAATATTTTTTTTATTGTCAATGTGTGGCATCATTGGAAAATTTTTAGAATATAACGACATATAACCATACCTAGGTACATACGTGTTAGTCCCAATGCATTCGGAAGATCAACTTTAATGTATGTAAATATGTCTGCGAAAAAAATTTACTTAATCGTACGAGTTATTAAGACTATCTGGTGATGCGTAGATAATTGCTCGCTAAAGCATTTGGCTATCAATGAAAGATAAAATTCCATTTTTAGAAAACTTTGGTTATAATTTTTAAAATATAAATTTTTTCCTATTTTTGAAAACGCTTTTATTTATTGTGAGCGTTAAAATTGAAATGTTCAAAAGTATAACGTTCTACGATAAATCGCTCAAAGAGCTTAAATTCAAATATTTTTTTTTGTCCTATGCGCTATACAATACGACAAAATCGTTTTTTTTTAGGATATTGATCCAAGCCAATTGTTTTCGAAGATTGAGTCCGTTTTTCGAAGTTAGCCGCCAAAATTGAACGTATCATTATTAATTATAGTATGTTTCCTCTAATTTCGTCGGTCAAACTTATATAACATTTGCTATATGGTATTCCAGATCAACTACTGGTCAGTTGCAGTCGAGTTTTTTACATTGTTAATTATAATAATATAATAAGAATTCTTGAATTTTTTAGGGGCATTAAATTCCCCATTTTACTGATTTATGGCGGCAAAATAAAATATATTTTCGAAAAATTTTTAAATTTAAAATGTCTACGTTTACTTTTTTTATTTTTGTAAAATTTAATAATTAAAAAATTTACTAATATATGGCGAATGAAACAGTCGAAATATATTTTCGAAAAATTTTGAAATTAAATAATTATTTTTTTAATTTTTGTAAAATTTAAATATTGAAAAATTCAAATCGTGTGCTAATATATGTATGTATGGTGAATGAAACTGATCGATGTCGAAATCTGAAATACATATGTTGTTGTTGTAATATAAGTATTCGAATATGGCGCTCTATGTCCATATTAGTAGCTTTATTCAAAAATTTCGCCAACATACTCAAGCGCATACATACAAACATACGTACTATGCATACATACATACATATGTATATGCCATATATAATTAGTATACAATGATTACGGCTACGTACAATTATCGCGTGATTAATAAAACGTTTTCACTCAGTTGCACAAGTCAATGTCGAGAGAGTTGCTCTCGAAACGATCGCAAGAGTTTACAGGTGTATGTATGTATATATGACGAGGTGTGTTAGCACGTGGTGACAATACATAAGCAAATATGGATAAAACGTGTGCTTTAATGCATATTTATGCACTATGCATGTAATTACTTAGTAGCTTATAAGCATGACTATGCAGAAAAATCTAAGAACGCTGTAGACAAGTGGGATTTTCATCAAAGAGAGATATATTTAAATGCACATAGTAAGTCACCTGTATAACTTCCCAGAGTTCACTTTATAATTACTATAATTTGCTAATAAATTGATGCTTCTTCTATAGGTTAAAGTAAAAAAACAAACAGCTTGATTCCGGAGAGCGTGCCAAAAATCCGCTTGCAGCTCTCGTACTATTATATACATTTCTATTATATATCTGTATACCTAAATATGTATATTTTTAGCATTACGTATAAAAAAAATATATATAATATAACCGTAAGGTGTGAATTGCTTGTTTGGAGATTTATAAGGGGCGCGCCACTTATTTTCGCGCGCGCATATATTATTTGCACAGTTAATTATGAGTGGAAACCTTTAATGACTTTTCAAATACTTGTAAAACTAAGTGTGATGTTGTGACTTCAGTCTTTTTTGCACAGAACCCTTTATAATATCGGGTAGTCGAAAAAGTATTTTCGTACTTTTAATAAAACTTCAACTTATTTTTTTTTATATTTATACTAATAAACAGATATACTATTTTGGTCGACCACTTTTTGCCATTTTTCCGCTAGAGACATTATTCCATCAGTGTGAATCGAAATTTCGAAATTTTCAGAACAGAAGCGAGGGAACCATTGTTGTGCTACTGATACGGCACCGTCTACATAAACATCACAGCCACATTGGTGGCTTGCATTGCATTTTTCTTATTTTATACAAAAGTTCCGAAACGTAGCGAATTTCTTCATTATTTTCACTAATTTACGAACAGTTGTAACTTTTTTTAACTTCCCCAAATTTAATTTTTTTGGTGAAATGAAGCTTAAAATCTCACTTTTCCTACACTATGTATATGGTACGACACAGTGTGATTAATGGCATTGGAGATACGAGTATACGATTGCAACAAGTTCTATTGACAAAATACGAAAAGACTTTTTCGACTACCCAAAATATACTTTATAGGATAACCGACGTTTCCTTCTGGGTGTCTTGATGTTATTTTTGAGTCATAAATACGTTACATATACCTTAAAAAAAGCCTCGTTGCTAAGAAGAGGTGTTGACATTATTGGAACTGACAACTACCCGAATGTTTCCTCCAAAACTATTAGTTATATTATTTATTATCTCTTTAACAATTGTAATATCAGGTTGTTACGTAATCTATTTTCGTTATTGATATACATAAGTCATTCCACAGAAGTCAAACTTACTTGTAAAACATAACGGTACATTATTTATAGCATTATATATGTGATAAGGTTGTTCGAGTATACCCTCGTAAATATCTAATTCGATATACGTAAGTATATACCTGTATGTATGAACAACGATATATATATATACAGTTAGGTATTGCTATGTATTTGAAAGTCAATAATTGATATTAAATGAATATATATACATATATATGTATGCAGGTATGCTTAGTCACATATAACAGATCCATCAAGCAATCAGCCTCATTCAAGCCCTTAAGTAAGGTAAATGAATGTGAATTGATCGTACAACTATCGCAAAAGTTAAAAAATATCTGGAGGGGATGCAGGTAAAGAATTTTCAAAAGAACTTAAATTCAAAATACCGAGTTGTAAAAAATAGTCAGTAATTCGCTTAGAATATTCGGTGAAATAGGTGGAGTTTTTGAAAACTACAGAAGTAAGATATTATGTTCTAGTAGATTTTATTTTTTAGATTATGTTTGCATGTGAGCTTCTAAGATTTTGGTTAAAAATCTGCTTTATTTAATTTAAATCGGAAAAAGTATTAGTATAATATTACATTTGAGGGGATTGTGACTTTTTACGCTATGTTTGCAAGAGAGCTTCAAAAATGTAGTCGACAAGCTCTTTTATGTATTTCAAAATATGAAATGACTAGACCTTAATAGTAATACATAAATTATAGATGTGTGATAAGAAGCTAGGTACGGTGTGAATTTTTGGGTTAAGCTCAAAGCCTTTATGATAAAAATTCGATAAATTTCCTAAACATGTAAGAAAATCCTTTTATTTTGGTTAACATTTCGATTTTGAAGAGGCTTATTAAGTTCGCTGAGAGACAAAGAATTCAAAATAATATTACACGCTGGTTTCCAAAAGCATATCTTAGAAACTGACTTCGACTACGTGGTTTAGAAAATGAATTGTTTACTACACGAAATTATTATTTGACGTATTTCCTTCCGCATAGCGATAATGACAAGCCAGTGTTAAAAGCGTACTAAACACCTGTTTTCGATTTTACCTAGGGGTCGACAACAAATAAAACACTCTATGGCGTGTTAGACTCGAAAATTAATGAGAACTTCGACACACAATTAACTCTGGAAATTATCGTACCAAAAACACCCTCCGCATGAATTTGTATTGTGCCGTATTTGCCCGCCAAAACATATCCAATCTCGCCACTCTTTTTAAACCTATGTATGCTTGAATGTTTGTGCGATTTTCAAGCATTTAGAAGATAAATAGATACAAATATATGTACCATTGTGTGAGCATATGTAAATAATATAGATATATATTTAACATATATTAGTAGAACACGTGCGATCGGCACAGTCGGCACGATCGATGTGCTCTCAAGAGTCAAACGCTTTGATTTTCCATTCAGTTTTGCAAACGCCGCGAATCCATCAGTTCGTTAGGTACACAGTGGAAAAGCGCGTTGACGAAATATTTTTGAAAAAAATAATAATAATTGAAAGCACGTTGTATTTTCGATTTTCGGCAATTAAAGTGTTGAAATATTAAATAATTAATGCGAATTATTATTCATAGAATTAAAATAATCAATTTGGCGTAAAATATAGAGCCACAAGCAGATTCATATATAGATTTACTACAAAAAACATGCGCATAATTTTATGGTTAGAAAAAAGTTTTTGTGTTGATAGCTTTGGTTTTTGCATAATTAATTAAAAAAAAAAGAAGTTATTTCATCACCAAATGAAATGCTACTAACCAACAACTTTATGTCATTTTACAGAAGAGGAAACCGCACTCGAACACATCATCAAATCACTTGAGACTCCGACCATGAAGTGCGAGGGAACACATTTCGATTCCCATGTGCCGCACACGTTCGTCATCTTTGGCGCATCGGTAAGTGAAACCAGCACACTTTAGTGCCTTAAAACCGCCATAAATCAAAAACGTCTGGCTTTCTTATTTACGCAGGGTGACTTGGCCAAGAAGAAGATCTACCCCACCTTGTGGTGGCTCTTCCGTGACAATTTACTGCCGAAACCTACAAACTTCTGCGGTTATGCACGTTCAAAGCTCTCGATTGAGGAACTGCGCTCAAAGTGTCATCCATACATGAAGGTAAGCGGAAACTAACGGTAAACAGATATGCATTACAGCTTTATAACTTAACAAATTTCTTTTTATGCTTAGGTGCAACCATACGAGCAGGCCAAGTATGAGGAGTTCTGGCAATGTCACGCCTATGCGGCGGGTGGCTATGATAAGCGCAGCGATTTTGTTGCCTTGAACGAACAATTAGAGCGTTTGGAGAGCCATTCCAATTGTAATCGCATATTCTACTTGGCTTTGCCGCCATCCGTCTTCGAGCAAGTGACTGTGAATATTAAGGAAATTTGTCTATCACAACGGTGAGTAATAAATGAGCCCTTGTGATGTACATCCTAGCTTTCCCAGATCGAAAACTGCCGTACTTTTTGCCATCGTCAAAGTTTTTAAAACTAAAAACAATAATATCAAAAAAAAAAAAAAAAACAAAGTGATTCAGCGATAATCACAAGTTCGAACTATTGTTTCTTCCTTGTTGAGTTTTTTTTTTTTAAATAAGGACGGACACGTCTTTCTGCAAAGAATTCCACAAGACCTTCGTTTCTCAAGTTGTTTCGTGGCACCTATTCGATCGACTGAAACTGAAACATCTAGCGGTCATATCTACGGTGAAACGGGCAAGTTTGCCAAAATTGATGTAGTTTATTTTTCAAGAGTACGAACTTCTGAAGTTGATTGAAGGTAGAACTTAGTAAATGTCTTCCATTCCAATTGCTTTTAAAGTTTTATTGCTTGGGTTCGCCGTTCTAATGAAATATTTTCGAATATCAGAAACAATATTTTCCATCTTTAAGCCAATGAAACACTGTATACGTATGTTGAGTTCCCACCACTAAAATTCTTTTTTTTTCTATTTCTTTTAGCGGCTGGAATCGCGTTATTATCGAAAAGCCCTTCGGTCGCGACGACGTCACATCAAAGAAGCTGAGCGATCACCTCGCCTCGCTCTTCCACGAAGAACAACTCTATCGCATTGATCATTATTTGGGTAAAGAGATGGTGCAGAACCTCATGACTATACGTTTCGCTAATAAAATACTTAACTCAACATGGAATCGCGAGAATATTGCATCGGTGCTCATCACATTCAAGGAACCATTCGGCACACAGGGACGTGGCGGTTATTTCGATGAATTCGGCATCATACGCGACGTCATGCAAAACCATCTGCTGCAGATATTGTCGCTAGTCGCCATGGAGAAGCCAACTTCCTGCCAACCCGATGACATACGCGATGAAAAAGTTAAGGTACTGAAAAGCATTCCAGCACTTACATTGGACGACATGGTTTTGGGACAATATGTCGGCAATCCAGAGGGTGAAGGTGAAGCGCGCGAAGGTTATCTTGATGATCCCACCGTTTCCAATGATTCCAATACGCCCACCTTTGCACAGGGTGTCCTACATATCAACAATGAACGTTGGGAGGGTGTACCATTCATTTTACGTTGCGGCAAAGCGCTGAACGAACGCAAAGCTGTAGTGCGCATACAATATCGCGATGTGCCCGGTGATATCTTTGAGGGTAACAGCAAACGCAATGAATTGGTCATACGTGTGCAGCCCGGCGAAGCTCTGTACTTCAAAATGATGACCAAGAGCCCTGGCATTACATTCGATATGGAGGAGACTGAACTGGATCTCACCTATGAGCATCGCTATAAGGACTCCTATCTGCCGGATGCGTATGAACGGTTGATTTTGGATGTATTCTGCGGCTCGCAAATGCATTTCGTGCGTTCAGATGAGTTGCACGAGGCATGGCGTATTTTCACGCCAGTGCTGCACGAGATCGAAAATACTAAAGTGAAACCCATACCTTATGTGTTTGGCACTCGAGGCCCCAAGGAGGCTGATAAAAAAACGGCGGAGAACAACTTCAAATACTACGGGTCTTACAAGTGGCATGGAAAGAAGTAGAGGAGATATAATTGAGTCAATAACAATACAAATACATAAAAAAGACAAACAAAACACTGAAGCAATTGTTTAAAGTAATTAAAAATGGTTGTGTAAGAGTAGTTATACATATGTACAGTTAGAAAACATATATGTGTGCATACTCGTAGCTTGTAAATGATGATGGATGGATTGTGCGATAAAAACACTGACTTTTGTACATGTTCAGTGCAAATACGATATATTTTATAATATATAACTTAAGTATATGGAGCAATGGATCTATAAATAAGTTTTTAAGTAAATTTTTGAAAAAACAGAATAATTTATAGATTTTTTTCGGCTGTGAGAACCGAGCTTTGCACATTGATGTTAAAATGGTACTAAAATTTTCTTTCCCCCGTTCGGTGATGTAAACTCAGAGTTGATTTTGGCGATGGATTTTTGAACCAAAATGAATTCCAGTAATTCTAAGGGTCTTTGTATTTAAAGGCATTCAAGAAGAGAGCACCTGGGTTTTGTACTTTACTGCTAAATTACTTACTTAGTCCTATGCTTGGACTTAGTAATTGTCTGTTGCCAGATCTTCTATGGTTCGTGTTTCTCTATCTCACGATTTAGTCTCCTAATAATGAGCACGATAAGCTGAGTAGCCGTATCCTTTACTCTATCTCTATTACCCGAACTAGTCCTCTTTTTTTAAGCGATCAAAATTAAGTTTTTGTATGGAAACGTCTTTATTTGTGAAGGGTATAATAGCATCGATGCAACCGAAGTTAACGTTTTTTTTTTCTTGTTTTAGTATTAGACGTTCGAAAAGACATTAATAACTTCTGAAGAAGCTGGGATACTCAAAATCGGATGTAGTCATAAATAAGAAATATATTCTAATGGAAGAATTATATTTTAATTTTCGGATTAGATCTCTCTCAAAATATAGCTGTTCATCTATAACAGTTCTCTATGGCCAGGCTCCGAAAATTTAATTGTAGAATAAACCGTAACAACAGTAATAACGGCAAAAAGTTATTAAAAGAGAGCTTAAAGCACCGGTAAATAAAAGCTTTACTAAAATACTCGCTTGTGTCAGGCAAATCGTCAACGAAGGAAGTGTTGCTAACCAAGAGCTGAATAGTACTCGTTTAATGCACTCAATACAAAACTGTTTTGCTGTCAACGAGGAGTCGCCAAAGGACCTTCGTGCTTGGCACAACGCAGAAACGGATTCGTGCGGTACTTTTGTGGATTTCACATAAAATTGGCGTGTGTGGGGTGAATGGCGCAGCAAAGATGCAGTAATGTGAGAAAAATATTAATTTTTAGTGAAATATTATTAAGTAATTAAGAGTGTTATTGAAAAGTTTATAAAGTGGAGTACTCGTACAGATTGCTTAAATATTGACGCAGAAATGTGAACATTTTGAGGAAAATTTTAGATAAAGCAAATTTTTGCACAAAGCAGCAGCTTAGCAGCGTAGTGGTGGAAAGCGAAAGCTGTGAGAGATGGAGCAAGTAGAGTTGTACAAATATTAAAGTTAGAGAATGAGCGAGTGGTCGATAGTGGCACAAATGAAAGAATGTTTGGGATTTTGGTTTTTGTAAACAAATTATGAACCGATTTTAAAAATACTGTTGTGAAAAAGTTAATAAAAATATAAATATTTTTTTATTTGCAGAAATAAAATGAGCAAATAAACTAAACTCGATTTAAATGC